TTCATCTATTATTAATAAAATACCTTCATCAAATGATCAATGTCCATTTAGTACTTTTAAATCAGCTCATTTTATTTAAACTAAAAATATATTTTATATTAAATATTTCGAAAACAAAAAGAAATAAAACTTATTTTATCATTTGTTTATTTTAATAAATATTGTATTTGTTTTCTTTTTGTTTTTGTTTTGTTTTGTTTTGTTCATTGTAATATTGTTTTGAGTATAATATTAATTATTTGTAAATTTGTCGAATTCTAAACAGTATGAAAATTAATCAAATTATTTTATTTTAATTATATCAACAATTGATTAATGAGAATATAGTTAAATATTTATTTTTATTAGCAGTATGTGCAAGAAGACTTGGCTCGTATAATTTTTGGTTTTTTTTTTTTTACTCAATTTCTAGTCTGTGTCATTTAGTATATAGAAAAAAAAATGATTTTTTATTACGTCATTTAATCTATTTAATAGAAATAGAAATTTCAACTTTATATTAGAATAGAAATTTATTTTAAAGGAAAATTTTTGTTTTTCTTTGCTATTAGAAATCCATGATCTATTACATGTGAGTATGTATATATTTATGTTTTTGTTCTGTTCTGTTCGTTTACTTCTTTATTTGCCCAAAAAATTTTCATCCATTCTTTTTTTTCCCTGTATGACATTGGCTCCGTACACCTAATGGTTATTTTTATCATTATGAACACTTTTTTGTTGTGAGAATTATTATTCATTTGTTGACTATTTAAAACGAAAAATTTTGTTCAATAGTTATACCAAAGAATATTTAACTTATGTCTATATAATACTTTTTGTTTTGGATTAATTAATTCATATAAATTTCCTTTCATATTAACAATTGAACAAAATGTCGAAACATTCATGTAAGATTAATTGATAATAAATTCATAAATTTTCTTTATTGTTTTTTTTTTTTATTAAGCTCGATCAACTAATCCAAATGTTTGAAAATCAATCTGGAATAATCCAACTAGAAGTACTACAACAGTACCTGAACGTTTTCAAAGTGAACATCCACCAGCAACAAAATACATGAATAAATCTTCATTGGAATCTGAGTTAGAAAGTGGAACGCGTTCTCAAACTACTCATCCATCATATCGACGTCGAATTTAATATTCAGCAGTTCCTAATTCAGCCTTATTAAAACAAATTTATCGTCCTGATGAATATGGTAAAGAAGGCAAACATATTCAAATATATACAAATCATTTTTCTGTATCAATTGATAAATCAATCATTAATCAATATGATATTGAAATTTCAATAGTTCGTTGAGATGAAAAATTCTGTTCTGCACGAAAAGATGAACGTTGGCAAACATTACAAGAGCTTTCGAGGAAAGAAAAAAATTTCCCTTTTATTTGGTAAGTTTTTGTTGTTATTTTTAAAGATAAATAATGACAAATTTTTAAATAATATAATATCAAGTATGATGAAGGGAAAAGTTTATATACCAGAGAATTCTTAATAGATTTTACCAAACCAATTCGTGTTACATTAAATATTAATAATGAAAATAAAATATTTGAATTTATAGTATTAAATTTTGTTCATCAAGAAAAATTCAAGATATTTTTGATTTTATAAATCGGCGAATTGAAATACGGCGACGGGATCCTGTACGAGTCATTGAAACATTATTTAAACAGAGTATTCGTAATGATCTTGTTTGTATACGAAATGAAATTCTATAATCGACAACAAAAAATTATTCGATCTTGGTAAATTTTTGTTTGTTAACATTTGTGTTTATTTTTTTATGAATTAATTTTAGATGATGAACGTGGTATGACTAGTGGTTTTCATCAAGCATTATGTCTTACATGTTATGGTTCAACATTGAATATTATATTTAGGATTTACATGATTTTATTTACAATTAGATTTTGTCGATTTTTCTTGTAAATATTTACGAAAAAATATCATCAAAAGAATTACTCAAACTGAAATCGTAGGAATAAAACGACTTTTTAAAAACTTACCTTATATGTTTTGAATGTTTAGTTTTTATTTTGTTTTAAAGGAAAAATTTTTCTTCTAATATAGTTGAAACAACTCATACTGATCGTCCTCTTAGATATCGAGTAAAAGGTTTTGGTAAATCTACAAATCAATTAACATTTGATCTTCGTTCTGATAAAGACCAAACAACAACGTTTAAATCGGAAAATGAATTAACACTTGATGATTTTAATAAAGATCAATCAACAATAATCTTGAAGAAATCAATCAGTGTAGCTGAATATTTAGCAAAAAAATATAAACCTTTAGAATATCCTGATCCTCCATGTGTGGATGATAGAAATAGAAATCGAGAAAGAGAAAGAGCAAATTGATTACCAATGGAAACTGTTAAGCTAAAATTTATCAATAAATATATTTTAGTAATTTTATTTAATAGATTGTTGAATGGGAACGTGTTTTAAGACCACTTGATAGTTTTCAACGTGGTCTTTGTCTCAAAAACAACAATTGTTAAACCAGATAAACGATATTATCATATTATGAAAATTTTACAACAAAGAAATTTTCAATTAGATCCATATTTACAACCATTGAATATTAAAGTAGATACGAATGAAATGATAAAAATTAAAGGTAAGTTAACATTTAAAATTGTAATTATTATAAATTTATCGATAAATTTAGCTCGTATTTTACCACCACCGAAAGTAAAGTATCGTGGTCAACGAAACAATGAAGTTGCCGAACATGTTGCAGTAGGAAAATAGTCAATACGAAATCAATTTTATACTAGTCCAATGATTAATCAATGGGGAATGATATATTTTGGTGAAAAATCTGATTAAAATATAATTGATATTTTAACAGATTTTTTAAAAATCAACGTTCCAAAAAGTAAGTTTTAATCTAATGTTATCATCTTATTGAATTAAAAATAATATTTATCTATCAGCTGAATTTGGTGTAATATTTAAATCAAAACCGAAACTTATAGCAAAAGATTGTCGAAGTAATGATATTGAAGCTGCAATAAAAAAAGAGATTGTAATGAAAATTGGCAATTAGCTATTGTTATTCTTAATAATGTTCCACCTGAAGTTTAGGAATCTGTTAAACAATGGGGTAATCAAACACTTGCTGTTATCAGTCAATGTATTAGTTTTCAATCACTTCAACAAAATACTGGCAAATATCGCATGTGTAAGAATTTTTTATTTTTTTAAATCAAATATTTTTTTTGTTTGTAACGATATTATTTTCAGATGTTCAAAATTTAAGTCAAAAAATAAATGCAAAAATCGGTGGTATCAATGGAGTTGTTAATTTCAAAGCAGCATTTAGTCGTTCATCACATAAAGATTTATTTATGTTCTTTAGTGCGGATGTAAGATATTCGTTTAATCAAAAAGTTATTAATCAAAAACATAAAACTTTTTTTTTCTTTTAAGTCACTCATACAACTTGTTCGACTGATCAACCATCAATAGTAGCTGTTGTTGGTTCATGTGATCCAACTTGTAGTCGTTATGTAGCACGTCTTTCTGAACGTATGTTTTCTTCTATTCGTTGAGTAATCTTTGAAAAAAAAAGTCTTTTTTTTTTTCTTAAAGAATATCGAAAAAGAGGTCGTTGTTCAGTAGAAATTATCAAAGAACTAAATAAAATGGTAATTGATTTACTAGAAGTTTTTTCACATACATGTGAAAATCGTTTGCCTAATCGAATTGTCTTTTATCGTGATGGTGTTGAAGATGGACAATTTCAAAAAGTACTTTATAATGAAATAAATAAAATAAAAAATGCTTGTCGAGGTAAATTTAATTTTGTTTTGAAATTGTTTATTCGCTTGCGTATGTTTAGCTGTGTATGGAAATCTACAATTACCTAGATTAACATTTGTGATTGTTAAGAAAAGACATAATACACGTTTATTTGATTATGATGGAAGATATAACACATACATCACAATTTGACTTCTATTTATGTTGTCAAGCGGCCATGTAAGTCTCTATTTGCCCATTAAAATGATTAAATTCAATTAATTTATTAATAGAATTGATACATCTCGTCCAGCTCTTTATCATGTTCTTCATGATGAAAATGGTTCTAACAGTGATGACATTCAACAGTTTACTTATTGGGTATGAATTTTTTCAAATAAGTATATTTATTGAATACATATTCTATAAATTTTTAAAATAGTTATGTCATACAGATGCTCGTTGTACAAAATCAGTCTCAGTTCCAGCTCCAGTTCATTATGCAGATTTAGCTACACATGCTGCTCGTATGTTTAAATTTGGTGATTATCTTGGTCAAAATGAAGAGAAGTTAGTGAAAGAACTTTTTTTTTCTATTTTTTATTTTTATTATTATGTTTGTATAAATTTTTATTTTAGTGATGATCAATCGGAAAATATTTCGTTAAATGATATTAAAACTAAAGTTATGATATTAAATGAAAAAATCCAAAATAATATGTGGTTTATTTGAACATTGACTGTGTTTTTTTATTGAAAACTGTTTTTTTTTTCTTCTTTATAATCGTTAATAAAGATATGTTAAGCATGTTTGAAGTTCTATAAACAACTCTGTAAGCTATGGCATGTAGATTTATCTCAAAAAAAAAAGAAACAGAAATACTCTTTGAATAATCTATCAGATAAAAAATGATAAAAAAAAAAAGATAATGCATACAATCCGACAGTTTTGGAATACTAATTATCAAAAAATAGATGATTCTAAATCTACTGTACTAATTTACCTTTCAACGAAAAATAAATTATAAATCGTTGATTTTAAATTTGATAATGTTTAAGATGATTGAAACAATCACCTCTAAATTTTTTCTCTTATCATCTCCTGACAATGGCATGTAATATTTTAGTCTCAAAAGGTGTTATTGTTATTTCTAAGGGATTAATATCTGAAAGATGATGTAGTTGCTCGTGACAATCACAAAAATATTGTTTTATTCTATCTATTTGTGGGGCATATTTCTTCATCATTCTTTTACTTAATCATTTAGAAATACGAGAAGAAAATGAACACTGTTCGAGTTCGAGTAATAAAGAAGGCAATATATGTTGAATATAGCGCACTCTATCGTGTTTATTTTCATTGGAAGCAGATCTACTCAAAAAGTTATTTGCAGTTCAATATAGTGCATTGTTATTCTAGTCCTTATATTTTACTTTTTTTGTATCTATTCTTTATTATAAAGAAAAAAATGGCTCCAACAACTGAAAACATGAAAGTACGTTTTTTTCTGATGTTCATATTTTAATAGTTGATTATTGTTGAAATTGTAACAGTGTGTTTAGTACTGCGTACGCTTGTCTAGTCGCTATAAATAACATACAAGCCTTTCGCTTTTATTTCTCATTGTATAAGTAGTCTTAGTCATTGTTCTTAGATTTCAGAAAAAAATATAAAATGAATCCAAATCAACCACAACAAGATTCAGAAGCTCCACTTCAAACATTGGATTTAGACAATCTTGAAGTAAATTTAGTTTCTTGCTATAACAAAAAAAAATGCATGCACTAACTCTTCTAATTAATACTATTCATATTTATATTTTATAAAATGAATTTTCTATTTTCTCATTTTAGAACTTATTTGGTGGTCGACAAACACTACCATCGTTGTCAGATATACGTACAGCAACACTTAATGCTCTTCGGACTACAAATACTAATTTAAGAGAAGAAAATAATAGACTTGCAACATATGTAGCTGAACTTGATAACAAAAATCATGATTTAACGGTGAAAGTTCTTGAACTTGAAACAGCAAATCTTCGACTTGAATTTCAAACTCAAATTCTAAAACAACTACTAGATGATTTACAAGAAAAATTTGAAGCACGTGAAAAAAAACTTCAAGACTTCGAAGAACTTCAAAAAAAACTTCAAGATTTAGAAGCACGTGAAAAAAAACTTCAAGATTTAGAAGAACGTGAAAAAAAACTTCAAGACTTCGAAGAACTTCAAAAAAGAATTCAAGATTTAGAAGCACGTGAAAAAAAAAATCAAGACTTTGAAGAATTTCAAAAAAAAATCGAAAATTTTGCAAAATTTCACAAAAGATTCGAAAAGTTTGAAGAGTTTCAACAAACAATTGATAAAGAAAATAATGATTTAAAGGAACCAACGCCACAAACTAAATCAAATTTAACAAAATTTAAGTTGTCAAATCGTGATGTTGAAAAACCACTAAAAGATGACTTTGGTAAGTACTTAATAGTTATTAATTAAAGTTAATAAAATATATATGCTCGTTTAGGTGTTAGGCTGAAGTCATTGTCGTACTAATAGCACTTTATCATTGATTATTAATGTTTTACGTTTGGTATAAAATGGAACTCAATCTATGACTATGATGATGAAACTGACTCTATGATCAACATCATTACATGTTGTTCAGAATTTTTCTCTTGTACAATTCGGTAGCTTTATTTCAAATCTTTTTGTCAAATTTTTTTTCTCTTATTCCAAATATGTTCATAAAGAGATTTCTGTATTTACTCA